CAGAGCCCAATTATTTCGTCGAGCATGCGCAGCAAGAAATAAGGGCTCTGGGTACGAGATTGGTGTGGAACATTGAAGGAAAATGCCCAGGCAAATGTGTGCGTCAGGAATTCTTGTGCAGTCGTTACCGAATATTCCCTTGAGATATAAATAGCAATGAAACAGATGCCAAGTTGGTCGATCTAACAAGAGAAGGTTAATAAGGAATGCTTTGTATAGTCAACATGGCGGCTGTGATGTAACATGCACTCCAAGAATAGCAGACGTTATGGGTGCATGCAAATGAGACAACAAGCAATACTTCGACCCGATAGCCTCACTTGTATGATTCTTAAACAAAGGAATATTTCATTGTGGACTCAACTGTGTAATAACAGCTATTAGCAAAGAACACAAAGGTGTTAGGAAAAGCATGACATGGAGGAATTGCTTCTCTACACTTCTCGACTATACGAGTATTCAAATGCATTAGATATCTGCATATCTAGTAGGGGTTTACTCCCCCACACCCCTCACCTAGATCCGCCCATGGAAAACAAAAGCGGAAATCAGAATAACAAAACGAGAAAAATGGCTCTTTACTAAGAGTCGTCAATAGTTTGACTGTATATAATCTTATAATACACTCAACAAAATTACTCGATTCTTATTGGACAAGAGGAGTACAAATAAATCCCAAATTGTACTCTGTAGAGTCCCAATTAAATTCCACAATTTTGTTGAGTGCTTTATAAACAAAAAATCACACAGTGTTCTTGTACAAATTGGAATTTATAGATACTTGTGATGCTTTGACAGTTCTCAAATTGGACTCGCCTAAATATAAAGGGCTTGTCCAATTTTGAAAACTTTCAAAACATCACTTGTACCTATGAATTCCGAATTGTACTCGTGATCGTGCGATTTCCTACACAAATTCATTGATAATTCATGACCGTTATGAGTTTTTTAATTCTGATATAAATTCATGTTCATTTGCATGAACTTTAACTACTTGGATTTTGAAAATTTTAGTAAAACACGAGTGAGTTGAAAAACTTTGAGTTGTATGGAAGAAAGTCTTTCAAAATTTTATATTTAATACCTAAGATATTACTTCTCAAACTATTACAGTAATGGCTCTTGGATATTCAAAGCATGAGTTGCCAATAAGTCGCATATATAAGTATGATAGTTACTGTAAGCACGAATGGGCTATTGACTCATAGACCATGAGGCCAAGAGGACTTATTATTTTAGTCAAATCCAACTAGTCGGTCAAATATATGGATTGAAACAAGTTTTGAATCAAAGTTAAATTATCGTGTTCATTTGCATAAACTTTAACTTGAGTTTTGAACATTTTAGTAAAACATGAGTGAGTTGAAAAACTTCATTGTATGGAAGAAACAGTCTTTCAAAATTTGATATTTAATGCTAGATATTACTTCTCAAACTATTACAGTAACGGCTCTCGGATATTCAAAGCAGGAGTTGCTAATAAGTCGCATAAGTATGCTAGTTACTGAGTCCTTGTTTTAGTCAAATCTAACTAGTTGGTCAAATATGTAGATTAAAACAAAATTTAATGTTTTGATTTTCAAAGCTGGCTCTTTTTGCTAATAGTAAACCTAGTATTGCTTATAGCCTAGTAGTTGTTCACCCAATCAGAATGCAGCATTGACAATAGACCACAGGTTGATTTTGACTATTATACAATATACAATCCACTACGACTCAAGTTTATTTAGAGCGTTTTCATGTGACGCCATAGCAGCTATGTACATACAATACATTTTCTCTCAGGGAATTGAACTTTATTTTAAGCAATAACTATGTAGAAAGTTTAATATATTTTGTACACCAATGTGGCTGCCTTGTGACACGAGTGAAAACGCTCTATATCGTTTACGACATGGCCACTCATATTGTATACATGCGACTGTGTCACCCTCTGTAAAAATCAGTCAAAACTATACTAAACAGAAAAAAAAGGATTAATTTACATCTTAATAGATGTGGTACCATAGGATGTTTTTAATTTCCAACCATTTTACAGTTCTGTCCAGTGACCACTAATAACAGTTCCAGGTCAAGGCTGGAATTCCAATGCTTCCCATCATGCGCGGCAACCTGGACTTGGAACTATTATTCATGGTCACTAAACAGAACTGAAAAAGGAAGTATTCTTTTGATTATCATTTTTTTGTTCAACAGTAACACATGAAACAACAATGGATACAACTTCAGAAAGGAGGTTTTGACCAGTGTGGCTGACTGTGACTATGAGACTAGCCTGAATCAGAGTCACAGGAAAAAAACCGCATTGGGAATTTCCTTGAATTCCCAACAAATTCCCATCCAATTCCCAGAGAGAACGAAATTGGGAACATGGCACTGATTCCCAATGTTAGTTTGTTGGGAATTTTGTTTTTCTGTTGGGTATTAGAAGGAAATTCCCAACAATAAATCCCAACGTTGGTGTTCGAATTGGGAATGCAAGGAAATTCCCAACAATTCGAATCCAGTTTTTTTTCCCTGTGAGTATGGGTAAAAATAACTGAAGCAATAATTTTTTGAGCCCAGGCTATAATATATACTGTAATTATGGAGTACAGCTTCAATGAATGTGTGCCTTCACGTTTTGTGAAAAGAAAACAAGTAAATACAGCCGATGAATGTTTAAAGGAAATTTCCAGAAAGGACATCCCCTTCCTTGTCTTGAATTGAATCTATAATATTCAGCCTTACTTCAGAAGAAAGAGCTTTTCCTTGCTTCTATGTACGTCCTGAATTACTTATTCGTAGCATTTTTGAAGTCTAGTTCAAAAGCAAAACAAACTGTCTCGAATGTAGTCTCTGCCCCTTAGCAACTTGTAACTGAAATCTCACTTGAAAACGTGCAAAATTGAAATGTCAAATGCCTGCTTGCAACGCCTGTTGTTTTACAGTCAATCCAAATTTGCTGTAGCTCCTTCTTCAGTTTTTCTGCCGAGGACTTGCGTCATCTAAGCCGCTTGCCAGGAAAGAATTTCGCTGTATGCTCTAGGCATGGCTAATCAAAATTGAAACACTGCGAGCTCAAGATGTAGATTATGAAATATGCAGCTAACTGCTTCAGTTATTTGTACCCATACTCCTTTTTTTCTAGTCGTGGAGTCGGTCGGGAACAAAATTTTTTCAAAGGACTGTAGTAATCTGGCTATTAAAACTACAACCAATAAAAGCTTAGGGAATTGGTGTTTTGTGTGAGGCCATGCCATAAATCTATAAAAAACGAGGTATTTTCTAATTGCAGCTATGTTGCTGCTATTTTGTACGAAATTGTGGAATTCACTGGAATTCACTGCAGAGGACAAAAGCAAGAACCTCTATATCTTTGATTGGTTCATGCCCGAGTGAATTCTTAGCTATTTTACGATTAAATAGTTGATAACTAAATGCTTTTAAGCATTACATGGATTAAGCTTATTGTTTCACAGATAAATGGTTGTAACTGAGCCCAGGGGGTTGGGGTACTCCCATATATGGACTATACACGGATGATCCGCTGAACAGGGTATGGTTTCTCGAGCTTCTTCTCATAAACAGGGAATGCAATTTCACTCGAGATGCAAGTTCTTCCTGAGTTTCTTGTCATATTCAGGGATTCTACTTTCGTATTGACCTGAAACTGGTTATTATGGTCATGAAAAAAAAAACGATACGCGAGATGACATGAAAATTGAAACCGAAACTCAGTGCAATTAATTATATCTTTCGTCATAAACAGGGTCTACAAATTTGAGTTTTTTTGTCATAAGCAGGGTACCCCTTTCAGAATCGCAGCGGAAAACCCCCACCCAAATTCTGGCGGAGAATCCCCCCCCGGGTAACTGAGTCATTTTATTTAACCCATGAAAGATAAATGACTATTAGTTAGTACTAATTGATAAAAACCATGGGTTTAGAGTCTTAGCCTCCTCTGCATCTCCTTGGCTCTTTTTGCTCCTTGGGCTTCCTGTGGCGAGGACAAAAAGACGAAGGGGGGATGGGAGGGAGAAAAAAGAAGATCTTTCTCGCCCTCCCTCATCCCCCTTCTCCTCCTCTCTTGTTCCTAGTTCTTCTCTGCCATAAAATTTAACACAGGGATCCCAACAGAGAATATAGAATAATGGAGTAACCTGCAGAGGACACTATGTACAACTAAATTATTATGCATACTGTTTTTTTAGGGGTTAAATAAAATCACTCAATGCGCGCACTCAATCAGGTCTGACTAGTTAAAGAGTGGAAGGAACGACACCTACAACAACCTGATTCGTTTTTTCACAATGAGTAACAGGAACCTTATTCCTTGCTATGTACTTGGTTGTGAGTTTCCTGCTCTGCTCTCGAGACACACTTATTCTTCCCATCAGAACAACGAGCTCCTGAACATCAGAATGAGAATGTGACGACGATCTCCCTCCCTTTCTTTCTTTATACAACTTCCTTGCCATGCTCATTTGCTTCATTGCGCTGTACGTTTTACCATCATTCGTCAGAGGAGGCAGAGCTTTTTCATTTATTCGAACCTGTTGACACTGACAGTTGGTCAAGGTAAGGTGTTTGTGGAGTACATCTGCGAGCTCATCAACTGTAATTGTCTTTCCTTCCTCTTTGTTCTTCAGAAGTGTCAGATAAAGCAAATCGGAAGCTGCTCCCATAAGCTTCTCCAGGGAAACCTCTTCCAAGGCAGCATTGGTAATTACCTAGAGAATAAAAATAATTTAAGGTAATACTCCATTTTACAGTTTCAGGCATCCCAGCCACTTTTTAGACAAATTTGATAG